TGCCCTTTAGGTCTTCTGTATCTTTCCTGAGTTTCTTCTTAGTTGTTCTTCTTTCCTGTCTTTTTAATGACATTTTGCTTTCTTCATGCATAACGTCCTTGATGTCATCCCACAACTCTTCTGGTTCTTTGGTCATTAGTATTTGTCTTAGTCACCTAGTGTTGCTATAACAGAAATAACACAAGTAGATGGCTTTAACAAAGAGAAATTCATTCTCTCACTATCTAGTAGGCTACAAGTCCAGATTCAGGGTACCAGCTCCAGGGGAAGGCTTTCTCTCTCTGTTAGCTCTGGAGGAAGGTCCTTGTCATCAACCTTCCCTTCATCTAGGAGCTTCTCTGCACAGGAACCCCAGGTCCAAAGGACACACTCTGCCTCTGGTGCTGCTTTCTTGGTGGTATGAGGTTCCCATATCTCTCTTCTCACTTCTCTGTTTTATATCTCAAAAAAGACTGGCTTAAGACACAGTCTAATCTTGTAGAGCTCATCAACATAACTGCCAATAGTCCCATCTCATTAACATCATAGTGATAGGATTTACAATACATAGGAAAAATCATATCAGATGACAAAACGGTAGACAATCATACAATACTAGGAATCATGGCCTACCCGAATTAATACACATATTTTTGGGAGACACAATTCAATCCATGACAGTATTCAACACGTCAAATCTATTCTTGAGATGGTTTTTAAATTCAGGTGGAATATACTCAAGGTCACAGTTTGGCTCTCATGGACTTGCTTTAATTTTTTTGAGCCTCAATGTGAACTTGCATAAGAGCAACAGATGGTCTGTTCTGCAATCTGCTTCTGGCCTTGTTCTGACTAATGATATTGAGCTTCTCCATCGTCTCTTTCCACGTATGTAGTCCATCTGATTCCTGTACATTCCATCTGGGAAGGTCCATGTGTATAGTTATCGTTTAAGTTGCTGAAAAAAGGTATTTCCAATGAACAAGCTGTTGGTCTTGTAAAACTGTATCATGCGATCTCCCGCGTCATTTCTATCACCAAGGCCATATTTTCCAACTACCGATCCTTCTTCGTTTCTAACTTTTGCATTCCAATCACCAGCAATTATCAGTGCATCTTGATTGCATGTTTAATCAATTTCAGACTGCAAAAGTTGGTAAAAAAATCTTCAATTTCTCCTCTTTCGTATTAGTGGCTGGTATGTAAATTTGAATAACAGTCATATTAACTGGTCTTCCTCATCAGTGTATAAACGTTATCCTATCACTGACAGTGTTTTACTTCAGTATAGATCTTGAAATGTTCTTTTTGACAATGAATGTGATTTTCCTCTTCAGTTTGTCATTCCCAGCACAATAAACCATATGACTGTCCAATTCAAAATGGCCAATGCCAGTCCATTTCAGCTCACTAATGTCTAGAATATCGATCTTCCAACAATCCCTTTCATTTTGACGACTTTCAATTTTCCTTGATTCATACTTTGTACATTCTGAGTACTAACAGACTTTTACAGCTGTTTCTTTTCATTTTGAGTCATGCCACATCAGCAAAAGAAGGTCCCTAAAGCTTTACTCCATCCATGTCATTAACATCGACTCAACTTTGAGGAGGCAGGTCTTCTCCAGTTATTTTTAGTGCCTTCCAACCTGTGGGCTTATCTGCCGGCACTATATCAGACAACGTTCTGCTGCTATCCATAAGGTTTTCACTGGCTAATTTTTATTTTTTCAGAAGTAGATTGCCGGGTCCTTCTTCCTAGCCTGCCTTAGTCTGGAAGCTCCACTGAAACCGGTCCGCCATTGGTGACCCTGCTGGTATTTAAAATACTGGTGGTATAGCTTCCAGTATCACAGCAACATGTGAGCCACCACAGCACGACAAACTGATAGATAAATGGTGGCCAAGATAGTTATAGAAATAAACATAGTTGTAAATGTTTTACACACACACATACACACATGTGCACATTATCCCTAACTCTCTCCTTGAAGTGGGCCTGAGAGATCAGTGCTCCACTTCGTACCCAGGTCTTGGCTTCTAAATAAATACCATTCTCCACTAAAAGGAGTCAGCACTCCATGGAGAAATGGCTGATTCCAGGAAAGTATTAAGATAAGCCTGGAATACCTTGTGTCAGAAAAAAAAAAGTGTTCATAGAATGATGGAAACAAACCAAAACCATCCAGAAGTCAGCCTGAAGGAAGTCCCACTGGCCAAACGGGACAATTTGAGCATCAAAATAAATAATGATTAAAGGACTAAATCCTACCGAATAAAACAGCAAGTTGTGTGCACCTATTGATTTAAATAAGGTAATGAAAGAAATAATTGGCAGGAAAAGAAAGCTCTTTCTTACAGCAGAAAGCCAACTAACAAACGCAGAAGGAATAATGATATAAGAAAATCACCATTTGGCAAGGATCAGAATAATAACTAATTTGGCCAAAAATATCAATGGATGCTAAAACGAATGAGTAGAAGTATGATACAGAATGGCATATTTATGATCTCAAAGTTCCTTCCCAATATACTTATTAATAAGAAAGGGGAAAGAGTAATTTTGCAGGGGAGAAGCCTGGCAGGCACCACCATAAGAAGGGATCAAAGTGAACATTATCAGTAATGGAACAAACAGAAATTGTGTAACCCCTGGCAGGATATAAAAAAACATAGCATCATTTCTTTAAAATTCCTACTAAAAATACTTAACCTTAATCTAATTATGAGGAAACATCAGATAAATCCAAATTGAGGCACACTCTACAACACTATCTGACCTGCAGTTTTCCAAGGTGTTAAAATCATAAAAGTCAAGGGAATACAAAGGGACTCCTCCAGACTGGGACTAAAGAGCTATGGCAACCAAATGTAACACATGATGCTAGACTGACTATTAGACCTATATTAGACTATTCATCCTGTTGGGACGAATAGTGAAATTTGATTGGGGTTTCAGGATTGGACGGTAGGAATATATCAATTAATTTAAATGGTTGCGGTTAGGGATTGAATTATGTCCGGAAAAAAATATGTCCAAGTCCTAACCCTAAGCACCTATGAATGTGACCTTATTTGGAAACATGGTTATTGCAGATGTAATTAGTTAAGATAAGGTCACTAGGGTGGGCTCTAATATCTGTATGACTGGTGCCCTTAAAGGAAGAGGAAAGAGACAGACATACAGAGGGAAAACAGCCATGTGAAGATGCACCTACACGCCAAGGAAGGCCTGGGACTACCAGAAGCTGGGAAAGAAAAGAAACGATCTCTCCCAAGAGCTTTCAGAGAGCATGGCCTTACCAACACACTGAATCTGGACTTCTAGACATCAGAACTGTGAGAGAATAAGTTTCTGTTGTTTGAAGCCACCTACTTGGCAGTGATTTTGTTACAGCAGCCCTAGGACACTAATACAGTTGTATAGTGGATACAAAGGGAATACACTGCTGGAAGGAAACACACACTAAAGTGTTCAGAGGTAATAGGGTGCCATGATAGTAATTTACTTTCAAATGGCTCTGAAATTAAAAAGATCATTTTACTACTCTTGTAACTTTTCTATAATACTGAAATTATCTCAAAGATACAACGTCAGAGCCTATACGTGTAACTATTCATAAAAAGAATATAAATAATGGAAATAAAATTATTAAAGGAAACTATTGTGCTAAGGTTTTGCATTTGAAGGATACTTTTTAACTTAAAAAGCATTCCTTTAATGTCATATTTACATAACAGCAATAACTTATGACAATTACATATATGGAAGCCCTGGTGGTGTAGTGGTTCACAGCTTGGCTGCTAACCAAAAGGTTGGCAGCTTGAATCCACAGCCACTCATTGTAAACCCTCTGGGGCAGTTCTGTGGAGCTCTGGTGGCACAGTGGTTAAGAGCTCGGCTGCTAACCAAAAGGTCAGTAGTTCGAATCCACCAGTTGCTCCTTGGAAACCCTAAGGAGCAGTTCTACTCTATCCTATAGGGTCACTATGAGTTGGAATCTACTCGACGGCAATGAGTTTTTTTTGTTGTTGTTCAAATTTAATTCAACAAGGAAATGTGTATTACAAAGAAGCCCTTCAGCAAAAGAGTAAACAGCATAGTGAAGCAAATAGTCTGCACCCTTTTTATCTGTAATTAATTATTGTCATGGATTGAATTATGTCCCCCCAAAAATATGTGTATCAGTTTGTCTGGGCCATGATTCCTGGTATTGTGTGATTTTCTTATATGTTATAAATCCTGCCTCTATGACGTTAATGAGGGAGGATGGGCGGCAATTGTGTTAGTGAGCCAGGACTCAATCTACAAGACTGGATGGTGTTCCGAGGCAATCTCTTGACATATAAAAGACAGAAGTAAGCAGAGAGACGAGGGGGACCTCATACCACCAAGAAAGCAGGCCAGGAGTAGAGCATGTCCTTTGGACCCGGGGTCCCCACGCGGAGAAGCTCCTAGTCCGGGGGAACATTGATGAGAAGCCGGACAGAGAGAGAAAGCCTTCCCCTAGAGCTGACACCCTGAATTCGGACTTTTAGCCTACTTTACTATAAGGAAATAAATTTCTCTTTGTTAAAACCATCCACTTGTGGTATTTCTGTTGTAGCAGCACTAGATGACCAAGACACATATTTTCCCCCATTGCCTACTCTAACTTATCTTCTAGCAACAACACATACAAAGAACCGTGGAAACCAAAAACCAGATACCTTGATTTAGGTGTGTGGCCTCCATGATCTGAACACCATTCACGGAGCACTGAGATCCACTCAGGGGTATCAGAGTCACTGTCCCTCCAATATTTTCAAAAATGCAGTGCTCACTCTCCAAATCAAGGCCATGAAGAACTAAGACAGAAAACAAAAAAGAAAAAAAAGATTTTTTTTCTTTGAGATCTGCTACAATGACTCCAAACCTTTTTTTTTTTTTTGGTAAATACGCTTTCCTTTCATAAAAGTACTATGAAGTAAACACTTATGTTCAGTGAGAAAAAATGAATTTTAGAAGTTAACAGCATGAACTGATACAACTGGAAGCATCCCTTGAATGTTATTACAAAGGATCTGGACATCACCTGTTTAAGGAAATAAGTTATGGGATGTTAATTTATTTCATCTTCATGGAGAAAATAGTTCAGTAACTTGTCTTCACTGATTGCCACTGAGTCAATCAATCTGTTTGATATTAAATAACATCTGCTCCATTAGCCACTAGAGGCCAGAGAGAAATATATGTGGCAAAAGTGCTCCATGGATCAAGGACTTACCATGACCTCCACACTTAGAGCCACTGTGTTCAAGGAGCAGAAACCAAAGGTAAGCTTGGTGTGGCACAGATCTTGAGAGAGCCAAGGAAGTTTCCAGAAGCTGTACAAGGATGCACACTGCGGCAGCCTCTGCCAATTCTGAGAGAACTTGACTTCCACAAACCTCTCAGAGAGCATGTGCTTGCTTGCATTTATATTAGCATGTATGACCATCCTGGGTTATTCTTGCTTGAGGGTGGCTTAGACAAGTAAACAGTCAAGTAAACTTATACCATTTTGAGCACAGTTCTTGGACAGCTTCTTAGGTGTTAAGCCCAGATAGCTCCTACTGTCTCTGAAGAATTGTGCTACTGAACTTCTCTGTTCACAGAACATGTGTATTCTTACCACTTCTACACCATTGATAGCTACACCAAAGGTCAAACACACAATTCAATGATTAGATGAAGAGGCCTGAAGCCTACTTCTACTCAAAAACAGTGGAACCTGAGGACTTCTGGGAACTGGCTTTCAGCTCTCCCAGTCTCACAGTAAATAGTAAATACAAGTAGGAATATGCTGGGGTTGGCTTGATCATTGACTTGTACTTGGAAAGGAAGCAGGTTTACAGCCAGCAACTCTGGAAACAGCTGGGAAGATATAATTCCTAGCCCTGTCATCCCCACCCTGCCACCCACACATACACACAGGACCACCACCACCAAGGATGGCCTCCAGGGTGATTGTAAGCAGGACCTTATACAGCTCAGGCTGAGTCACTGGTTATCTGTGTACCTCATAAAGATTTTCAAGAAAAAAATCCATCTGTGCCCCCATCTGGGTGTGTGCTGTGTTGCCTCATACTTTCCGTAGTCATCTTTGGACAGATAAGTGTCTATATCCTTCCCATCAAAAAGGGCTTATATCCTTTACCTGTGTCTGTTGTCATATTTCCATCAATCATTGTCCCATTATGACAAGTATACTACAGTGATTTAAATAACTGTACTCTTGAAAGAGGTGACAGGGAATAGAATATACACAGGGATGAGACAAAAGGGTTCACAGTTCCATTTTATTCATGAAACTAATTGTTCTGTGTTATTCATTTGAGTTGTGTTCAAAATTACAGAAACATATATAACGATCAATATTTTATTTGAAAAAAGTTTTCTACAATGCTTCAATGTCAGTCATTCAAAAGAAGACTTTTTATTGAATATGATTTTTAAAAAGTCATTGGAAAGAGATGACTAACAAAGATTCTTACCAATATCTTGTTCTGTTGAAGCATCTTCTCTACCAACAAATGTCTGGCCCTCCTGGGAAGAAAAGTCAAATAAAATTTATTAGTATGAACAGGAGAAACGGCTTGTTTCACCATTTTTCATTTAAGACCAAGCAACCTGGTGATTGATGGGGTGAGCAATGACCCGGGCAGGCCACAGTCTGCGTGTAATTAGAATTCACTGAAGCTCTGTTAACAATACCTCGTGTTGTCTGGAAAATGAGATCGAACTCCCGATGCTTATTGCTCAACAACAGCCCCTATTTTGGCATTCATCAGTAACTTGCTCATGACAGTAATCTCACTGATGTTCCCCTATCCGTTCTGATGAGTTTGCTCTCCAGTGGCCAGGGGTTTCCTTATGTCTAAAGACATAATTTACGAAAGCCCACAAAATACAAGTGCAGTACCATTCTCATTTTAAGTCATGGATCAGAGGGAGGATACAGAAGTTAAGGTCACAGAGGCAATAATTGCTACTGATGTGCAATTCTGCTGTCTTGACACAAATAGCTTGCTCAGAACCAAGCCCAATGATGGAGGCAGGAGGCACAATTTTATAATTACCACTAAGGGCTGGGAAACTGTATAACAAATCTCAGTTCTAGGTGCTTATATCTTATCTTCCTCAGCCTGCCTATTTGTTCCTTGCCTCCCTCTTACTGATTCTACAAAATAGAAGTAAATGGACCATCATGTATCTTTAAAACTACATAAACATGGAAACTTTTAACTCCAGAGACTCCCAATTAACTGTTGAAAATCCTCAAAGGGCTCAATAATTTGTTATATATTCTTTAGTAGTTGTGTTCATGGCCATACAGTATTATAATAAACCTTGCTAATGTCTTAAGAAAAAAACTGGAAACGAAATTAGAATGTTCCATGTAAGCAGTTTCTACCTTCAAGTGATATAAGATGATTCCAGTACTCAGAAGGTCATCATCAATGCCAATCAAATGCGGCAGTTCAGAATCTAGAACAACTCCAATCCCTTCTTTCCTAAGGGCTAGAGTTTGTTCCTGAAATTAAGAGGAAAAGAAAAGCAAAGAAAAAGGTTACTTTGGAGAAAGATAATTTCATATTAGGTATTCTTTAGACTGTCAAAATGAATAATATTTTATTATTTCTCATCCAAAAAGTGGGCCTTAAACTACATGTCCAAATCCTCACTTGTGGTAGGCAAAGTGAAGTTGGAACACATAAAAAGCTCAATATAAAAATGAATTTTATCCTTTACAGCAAAGACATGAAAAACTAAGTGAAATAAATGCAGACAACAACCTTGGAATCCTGATCTTCAAAAAGGAAGGATAAAGAATTGACTCAAACCTGACTGGAAGGAAAAACTGAATGAATGCAGCAAGCAAGGAGCATCACAAAACAGAGGGGCTCTACCAACCACTCTGGCTCAATGTGGCCATTTTAAGACAAAGCCAGAAGCAAGCACAGAGGAGGAATACACGGAGGCAACCCCACAACATTCCCATAAGAGACAGAGAAACCATATAGACGTACTTGGGGAGAAACAACAGCAGGGAAAGAGCTGAGATCCAGAACCAGATACACACAGGAGACGTGCCCTGACCTCAGGGGTGAGTGGTGCACACGAAGCAGTGGAGATGCGAAGTGGCGGCGGGAGGTCTCCCACCCAAACAGACCCCCTCCGCTTAGTCAGGAGCAGGTCCCGACTGCTGGCTGCGGTGGATGGGAAGGGCCTGAGTACTCATATCCAATAACCGGAGGAGTCCACTCCACCCACCCCCACCTTCCTGGTCGGAAGCAGCAGGGGACCCCTCACCCAGGACACCTCATTTGACAGGGGATCATAACATAACATCCCCCATCAGACCCCAACTATCACCTCCCTCTGATCATCTGATTAAAGGCAGTAGGCACCCTCCTATTGCCACTCCCCGTGCCCCCTGCCTGGTGAGTGGCGCTGGTGCTGCAACTGTGCGCGAGACTACCTACTGCTCCCTCCACCCTCCACTCCCCCAGTAAGAGGTACCAGCGTTGCGGCTATGCACCTGCCCTCTTGCTGCTCCCTCCCTCTCCACCTGTCCAGTGAGAGCTGCAGGCGGTGCCACCCTGCACATGCCCGCCGTGCCCCCTCGCCCAGCAAGAGGCACAGGAATTGCAACCATGTGCATGCCTGCCTACTGCTCGCTCCCACCCTCCAAGCAAAGGGTGCTAGTGGTGCGGCTGTGCACACACCTGTCACTGCTCCCTCTCCACTCCCCTTGCATATCACAACCTCAAGTGCCCCATCATCGCTCCTGCTCCCTCCCCTGGTCCAGGGAGAGGCACTGGCAGCGAGACTGCACATACATGTGCCCACTGCTTTCCTTTCTCCCCCTGCCTCGCATCAGGTGGAGCCAGGGCAAACGTGTGTGCACCTACCCCCTCACCACACCCCCACACCCAGCTAGCAGTGATGGCCACACCCCTACTCACACAACACACCCACACCTACCACCCCACTCACTCGGTGAGGGCCACTCCCTGCTCCAACACCATCAGACCTATGACAGACAGTGGCCAACCCCAACTAGACTGTCCTCAGCCACCCAACAAGACCAGTGAACAGACCAGAGACCACATATCAAGCCACTGCCACACCCACTCGGAAACAGGGCAAGTGCTCAAGTGCCGCCAGACTACCGACCAGAGTGGCACGCCAGCACTACCTGCCCAGATTAAAATGAAACAAAAAATCAGGATGCAGCAAACAAATACACAATTAGTAAATAAATATAATAATACTTTAATGCTTCAGAGACAACAGACAATATCAAATCACCTGAAGATGCAGGACAAGACGGCTCCAGCAAATATCCAAAATAAAGAATCAGAAGGAAGAAGATGTAATCGAACTGCAGGATAAGAAGTTCAAAAGACTTATATATACAGCCCTCTGCAAGATCAAGAAAGACATCAAGGAAAACACACACAAAACCAAGGAAAACACAGACAAAATGAAGGAATGCACAGACAAAAGACTAGAAAGAATTCAGGAAAACAATACAAGAACAAAACGATGAAATAAATAGACAATTAGAAACCATGCAAAAACAGCAATCAGAAATCCAGATTAACAACAAAATTTCAGAAATAGAAAACTCAGTAGAAAGACATAGGAGCAGAATTGAACCAAAGGAAGGCAGAATTAGCGAATAAGAGGACAAATCCCTTGATATTAACTTGTTTGAGGAACAATCAGAAAAAAGAGGGAAGAAAAATGAGGAAACCCTAAGAGTTATGTGGGACACTATCAAGAGCAATAATCTACATGTGATCGGAATCCCAGAACAAGAGGAAACAATAAAAAGCACAGAGAGAATATTTGAAGATTTGCTAGCAGAAAATATCCCTAATATTATGAAAAGCAAGAAGGTATCCATCCAAGAAGTGCAATGAACACTATACAGGACAGATCTCAAATGGAAATCACCAAGAAATATTAAACTCTCCAAAACCAAAGCCTAAGAAAAGCTCTTGAGAGCACCTAGGGAAAACTGAGAGATCACCTACAAAGAGGAACCAATAAGAATAAGCTCTTACTTCTCAGCAGAACTCATGCAAGCTTCGAGGCAATGGGATGAAATATATAAAAATTTGAAAGAAAAAAATTGCCAATCTAGAATTATATATCCAGAAAAATTGTCCCTCAAATATGATGGCAAAATTAGGATATTTCCAGATAAACAGAAATTAAGGGAATTTGTAAAAGCCAGAACAACTTTACAAGAAATATTAAAGGGAGTCCTACAGACAGAAAACGATTAACAAAAGGCAACAACCTGAGATTAAGACACATGGCAGCATCAGCTGGATACCAACCCAGATAAAAAATTATCACAAACAAAACAATGCTAAAAGAGTGAAAACATGGAAGCAGAAATGTCAATCTGTAAAAGATGACAAGTTCAATATAAAAAATGTAATAAATGGTATAGTTACAGAACTTCCATATGGAGAGGAAGTCAAGGCAATATCAAAAAATAAAAGACTGATTTAAATTTAGGATGACAAAGCTGAATATTACAGTAATCACAAAGAAAATTAACAAACCTACTCATCAAAATAAAAAAGGAAAACATAAAGACCTAGTAAACACTAAATCAACAATGAAAAAACAAAATCCACAAACAAAAAGAACATAGCACAAAAAATTAAGCAGAACAAAGAAACTGTCAACATCTCACACACACAGAAAAAAAAAAGCATAATAAAATGGAAGCAGTGAACTCATATCTATCAATAATCACACTAAATGTAAATGGATTAAATTAGCCAGTAAAGACACAGACAATGGCAGAATGAATTAAAAAAACATGACCCACCAATATGTTGTCTACAAGAGACACACCTCAGACACAAAGATATACATAAACTAAAACTCAAAGGGTGGAAAATATATACATATAAAGCAAAAATAACCAGAAAAGAGCAGGTATGGCAATATTAATTTTGACAAAATAGACTTTAAGGCAAAATCCATCATAAAATACAAATAACATTATATAATGATTAAAGGGTCAATCCACCAAGAAGACATAACCATAATAAATACATGTGTACCCAATGACAAGGTTCCAAAATACATAAACTCTAATAGCACTGAAAAGAGAAATAGACAATTTCACAACAATAGTAGGAGATTTTAACACATCACTTTCGGTAAAGGACAGAACTAGAAACTCAACAAAGATACAGAAGATATAAATACCACAATAAACCAACTAGACCTCACAGACATACACTGAACACTCCACCCAACAACAGCAAAGTACACATTCTTTTCCAATGCACATGGAACACTCTGCGGAATAGACCACATTTTAGGCCACAAAGCAACCCTCAATAAATTCAAAAACACTGAAATAAGACAAACCATTTTCACAAACCGTAACACTATAAAAGTAGAAACCAATAACAGGAAGAGCAAGGAAAAAAATATCAAATATATGGAAACTGAATAACACCTTGCTCAAAAACCACTGGCTAAGTGAAGAAACAAAGATGAAATCAAAAAATTCCTAGAATCAAACAAAAATGAAAACACAACATACAAAAACTTCTAGGACACAGCAAAAGCAGTATTCAGAGGGCAACTTACAGCTATAAACGTACACATCAAAAAAGAAGAAAGGGCAAAAAATCAAAGCATTAACCTTCCAACTTGAACAAACAGAAAGAACAGCAAAAGAAGCCCATAGTCACTAGAAAAAAGGAAATAATAAAAATTAGAGCTGAAAAAAACGAAACAGAGAACAGAAAAACGATAGAAAGAACCCAACAAGACTTGTTCTTTGAGAGGATCAATAAAACCAACAAACCACTGGCCAAACTGACACAGGAAAACAGGAGAAGATGTAAATAACTTACATAAGAAATTAGATGGGTGACATTGCAATGGAACCAACTGAAATAAAAAGGATCATAACAGAATACTATGAAAAACTGTACTCCAACAAATTTGAAAACCTAGAGCAAATGGAAAAATTTCTAGAAACACATTACCTACCTAAACTAACACAAACTGAAGCAGAAAGTCTGAATAGACCCATAACAAAAGAAGAAACTGATGAGGTAATAAAAAAAAAAATTCCAACTAAAAAAAGTCCTGGCCCAGACAGATTCACAGGAGAATTCTTCCAAACATTCAGAGAAGAATTCGCCACAATATTACTCAAACTGTTTCTGAGCACAGAAAGGAAGGAATTCTCCCAAACTAATTCTAGGAAGCCAGCATAACCCTGATAGCAAAGCCAGGCAAAGACACCACCAAAATAATAATAACAAAAAAAAATTATAGACCAATATCCCTCATGAATAAACACAAAAATTCTCAACAAAATTCTGGCCAATAATCCCCAAGACTTTGGTCCCTAGACACCCTCCTAACTCAGAACTAAAGCCATTTCCGAAGTCCACCTTTCAGCCCAAGATCGAACAGGTCTATAATACAAACAATAACACAAGTGAGGAATGTGCTTTTTAGTTCAATCAAGTATAG